ACAGTGCCCAGGCCCAGAGTTCAGGCCCCATGACCGGACACACACACAAAAAAAAGATTGCTATAAAGTAAATTTAGACTGGGCATGATCTTCATTATCTCATTTTTCCTTTGACATAGCTTTTTTTCTTAACAAATACCAATGATCTATCACTTTAGATAGAGAGATCATTTGGGAAACACTGTCTATATTAAATATGAAGTGCCTTGGGTGTGACAGCCAAGAAAGAACAAAGATAAAAGACCTTTTACTGACTTTGCTTTAGATCGGGAGAAAATAGGATAGGGAACAAAAGGACAGGGAACAAAAGACACAAGGAAGATAAATGTTGCCCCACTCCAGATTCAATAGATCCAGCCCACGCCATAAAACTGATTCTATCTTAGAAAGATAATCCTGGGGCTGGGAAAGTGGCTCAGTGGTAGAGTGCTTGCCTTGCATACATGAGGCCCTGGGTTCGATTCCTCAGCACCACATAAGCAGAAAAAGCCGAAGTGGGGCTGAGGCTCAAGTGGTAGAGCGCTGGTCTACAGCTGAAGAGCTGAGGGACAGTACCCAGGCCCAGAGTTCAGGCCCCACAACTGACAAAAAAAAAAAGATAATCCTAAATGTAAATTCAGTTATAATATCTAGGAGAAAGCAAGTAAATTCAAGGATGTTAATATTTACCAGAAACACTTAAATCTATCCATTCGTCAGTTTTACAAAAGGCTTTTTCATTTTCCTTGGGGGAATCAAATGTATCCTTCAAAGGTCCATTTTCATGTTTTTCTTCTTTGAGAGATATTTCCTCTGGAGTTATTCTAGTTCTGTTGGAGTCTTCTATATCAATAAAATCATCACTGAAATCTTCACTTAAATCATTCTTATCAGAAGATGACAAAGAAGACAAGGAAATATCATCCACATCATCACTCAGGTATCTAATTTTAGTATCATGTTTCATGGTCTGGTCATTTTCTCTTCTATAACTTTCATTTTCAACTACTTCTTGGTCCTTATTGATAGTATTGTCCTTAACTAAAACTGTAGCCTCTTCCTCTACACATGTGTCAGGAGATGAATTTTTATTACCATCAATTGTGATAGTCCCAGAAAATGGAGGTCGGCTGGATTTCAGTAGAGAAGGGTGAACCATCCTATAACCCAAAGTAGAAGTTACACCTGGACCATTTGCTAAAGCCAATTTCTTTCCACCAGCAGCATAAGGCCTATTAAATCCATACCCCAAATGTTCATTCCCATTGAGTACTTCCAAATGCCGAGAACTTCTTGTTAGCATACTTGACCGAAGAGGCACTCTAATGGGTAGCTGCTGGTTCTGATAAGGCTTTGTAAGATCAACAGCTCTATTGAAGGAATGTGATCTGGTTATAGATGAAGGGGGAAGGAATGAATTCTGAATGGAATGTGAAAAACTCTGTGACCTTACCATTCTTTCACAAGCCATAGACTTAATATTGTCTGGGGACTGTGCTAAGCTTTCTCCAGAACTACTTCGAGTGGCACAGGAGTTTGCTCTGGGCCTCTGCATGCTACCAGCTGATCGATTTCCATAAAACCCATTCAACTGAGATTTTTGAGCACTGACTGAAGAATATGAAGTCCTTCCTAGTAATGTGCCTTTGGTGAATTTACCCAAATTAGATGGTCCAGAAAAAGACTTTTGGTTTACCTCCTCTGTAGACGATACAAACATAGTAGATGGCCTTGTTAACTTTGATGTGAACAAAGGAATGCTTTTTAAACCTCCCTTTACCCCATTTTTATCCAACATTCCTTGAGTAGAAGCATGTTTTTCAGGATCAATTAGTTTATCATGTGAATGTTGAGTATTGTTAGGTTCTTCAACAGTTTGTGCACTAAGTTGGTATTTATTTGCTTTTCTCCAATTAAAGGAATGAGACAATGAACAATCAGAGCCATTATTTTTTATATAACTTTTGACGTTACTACCCTTGGACGTTCCTAATAGAGTAACAGCTGTCCCATTGGGCATTGGCTTCAGTGTACTTCTTACAGATTTTGCACCATATTTTGGCAACTTGGAACCCAAAAATGTCTTGATTTGTGTCTTCTCTTCCATGAGCTATAAGGTACATCTGTTCTTAAATTGTGACAGAATCTGAAGAGAAAAAAAAGAAGGTAAAACATCCATAAGTAAGAATAATTCATGCCTATATAAATGTACATACATACTAGCACAAAGAAAAATGCAAAGTAATTAGTGGCTCCTGTAGACATCTTAACAAATATTGAATATACTAATTAAAGCAAAACTTCATGCTGCAAGAAAATAACGTTTTTATGAATATCTTATTAAAAACTTGGGCAATGGATAACAGAAATGTCCATACATAATAAAAGTAAACTATCAAATATGAATAGATTGAAAAAATTCTACAGTGTATCTTCCAATTTTCTATCAAAATAGTTTTATTTTAGGTTATAATCTCTTCTTTAAAAAATAAAAACATGGGGCTGGGAAAGTGGCTCAGTGATAGAGCGCTTGCCTTGAGCTGAAGAGCTGAGGGATAGCGCCAAGGCCCAGAGTTCAGGCCTCACGACCGGACCAAAAAAAAAAGAACATATAATTTGTTTGTAAAAATACACAAGGTCTTACAAAAACTAGAACATATTTTAAAAGAATTAGAATGAGAAGAATGCAATAGCATCAAAAAAGAAAAACTATTCTAGCACTAAGGGTTGAAATTTCTGCTGTCTTTTTAAGCAGCTATCTCAAAAGAATTTCCATCTAGAAGTACAAACAATGGGGCTGGGAAGGTGGCTCAGTGGTAGAGCGCTTGCCTTGCATGCATGAGGCCCTGGGTTCGATTCCTCAGCACCACATAAGCAAAAAGAAAAAA